CACCCGATCCCTCTGGGTCTTCCCAGTGCACCAGGCCCGAGCACTTGTCTCATGTACCCAACCTGAGCTGGTTATCCGTTTCACCCTAGATAATATACATGTTTCAATGCTGTTCTCCTGAAACATCCCACCCTCGCCTTCTCCCAGAGTCCACAAGTCTGTTCCATACATCTGAGTCTCTTTTTCTGTTTTGCGTATAGGGTTATCATTACCATCTTTCTAAAGTCCATATATATATGTGTTAGTACATAGGTTTTTAAAAATGAAATAATTTTTTTTTCTGTGAAAGTGATGATAACTGCAATGAACAGCAAAAGGATAAACATGAAGATGTAAAATAGAACATCAAAATCATAAAATGTGGGGAAGGAAAGTAAGAAAATGATACTTTCTTTAGAATATATTTGAACCTATTTGACTACCAGTCTAAAGCAAGTAGATATAGGAAGGGGTTAACATACTGAAAACCAGGGTAACCACAAATCAAAAAAATACAATAGATTCACAAAAACCAAAAAAAAAAAAAAAAGGATTCACAAAAACCAAAAAGAAGAGAGCACAAGAATAATACAAAAGAAATCAAGCCACAAAAGGAAAAGCTAAAAGAAAAAGAAAAAAGAAGAAATACAAAATCACCAGAAAAAAAAAAGTTTCAAGTGGTAATAAATACATACATATCAATAATTATCTCAAACATCAATAGACTAATTCTCCAATCCAAAGACATCAATGGTAGATTGAATAAAAAAATAAGAGCCTACAATACGTTACATTGAAGAAGTGGGAAAAACCACTAGACCATTCAGGTATGACCTAAATCAAATCCCTTATGATTATACAGTGGAAGTGAAAAATAGATTTAAGGGACTAGATCTGATAGAGTGCCTGATTAACTATGGACGGAGGATTGTGAAACTGTACAGGAGACGGGGATCAAGACCATCCCCAATAAAAAGAAATGCAAAAAGGCAAAATGGCTGTCTGAGGAGGCCTTACAAATATCTGTGAAACAAAGAGAAGTGAAAAGCAAAGGAGAAAAGGAAAGATAAACCAATCTGAATGCAGAGTTCCAAAGAATAGCAAGGAGAGATAAGAAAGCCTTCCTCAGTGATCAATGCAAAGAAATAGAGGAAAATGATAGAATGGGAAAGAGTAGAGATCTCTTCAAGTAAATTAGAGATACAAAGAGGACATTTCATGGAAAGATGGGCTCACTAAAGGACAGAAATGGTATGGACCTAGCAGAAGCAGAAGATATCAAGAAGAGGTGGCAAGAATACACAGAAGAACTATACAAAAAAGATCTTCATGACCCAGATAGCCACTATGGTGTGATCACTCACGTAGGGCCAGACATCCTGGAATGGGAAGTCAAGTGGGCCTTAGGAAGCATCACAATGAACAAAGCTAGTGGAGGTGTTGGAATTCCAGTTGAGCTATTTCAAATCCTAAAAGATGATGCTGTGAAAGTGCTGCACTCAATATGCCAGCAAATTNTTGAACTGTGGTGTTGGAGAAGACTCTTGAGAGTCCCTTGGACTGCAAGGAGATCCAACCAGTCCATCCTAAAGGAGATCAGTCCTGGGTGTTCATTGGAAGGACTGATGCTGAAGCTGAAACTCCAATCCTCTGGCCACCTCATGTGAAGAGCTGACTCACTGGAGAAGACCCTGATGCTGTGAGGGATTGAGGGCAGGAGGAGAGGGGGACGACAGAGGACGAGATGACTGGATGGCATCACTGATTAGATGGACATGAGTTTGGGTAAACTCCGGGAGTTGGTGATGGACAGGGAGGCCTGGTATGCTGTGGTCCATGGGGTCGCAAAGAGTTGGACATGACTGAGTGACTGAACTGAACTCAACTGAATACGTTGCATATGAGAGACCCACTTTGGGGCAGAGGACACACATAGATTGAGAGTGAAGGTATGGAAAAAGATATTTCATGTAAGTGGAAATGACAAGAAAGTGGTTGTAGAAATGCTCGTATCTGACAAAATAGACTTTAAAGGTTGTAAAGAGAGATAAAAATGAAGATACTATATAATGATAAAAGGAACAATACAAGAAGAGGCTATATCCACCCAATATAGAAGCACCCAAATACATAAAATAAATACTGATAGATGTAAAGGGAGAGATTGATGGGAATACATCGATAGTAGGAGACTTTAACACCTCACTCACACCAGTGAATACATGTTCCAGGCAGAAAATCAGTAAGGCAACAGAGATCCTAAATTATAAAATTCAACATGCTGTGTGTGCATGTGTGCTGTCACATCAGTTGTGTCTGACTCTTTGCAACTCTATGGACTTTAGCTTGCCAAGCTCCTCTGTCCATGGGATTCTCCAAGCAAGAATACTGGAGTGGGTTGTCCTCCTCTAGAGGATATTCCTGATCCAGGCATCAAACTCATGTCTCCTGCATTACAGGTAGAATCTTTACTGCTGAGCCGCTGGGGAGGCCAAAATTTAACAGGCAGTTGATTTTTTGCAGGATATTATATCCAAAAACAAACAGACAAAAAAAACCCAGAATACACATTCTTTTCAAGTGCACATGGAGTATACTCTGGGATTGACCACGTACTAGGGCACAAAACAAGCCTGAATACATTTAAGAGTACACAAGTTATTTCAAGCATCTTTTCTGACCATGATTTCATTTAACTAGAAATCAACCATAGAAAAAGAAAAGAAAGAAATCAATTATATGGAGACTAACAACATTCTATTAAAAAAGGAATGGGTCAGCAATGAAATCAAATAGAAAATTAAAAAACTACCTTGAGACAAATGACAATGAAAACACCACCATATAAAATCTGTGGGATGCAGCAAGAGCAGTTCTTAGAGGGAAGTTCATAGTGATACAGGCCTTCTTCAGGAAACAAGAAAAATCTGAAATAAATAAACTAACCTACTGCTTAAAACAGAAAAATAAGAACAAGCAAAACCTAAAGTCAGCAGGACAGAAATAATATAGATTGGCGAGGAAATAAGATAGAAATTTAAAAAGCAATAGAAAATCAATAAAGTTAGTAGTGGTTCTTTGAAAGAATAAACAAAATTGACTGTCCTCTAGCCAGACTCACCAAGAAGAAAAGAGAGATGATCTAAAAAAAAAAAATCAGAAATGAAAGAGGAGAAATCACAACTGATACTGCAGAAACACAAAAACCCATGAAAGAATACTGTAAACAATTATATGCCAACAAATGGGACAACTTAGAAAAAAAGAACACATTTCTAGAAACATATATCCTACCCAAACTGAATCAAAAAGATATAGATAATTTGAACAGACCAATCTCTAAAGTGAAATACAATTTGTAATGAAAAACTCTCTACAAACAAAAGTCAGGACCAGATGGCTTCACAGGAAAATTCTATGAAACATACAAAGAAGAACCCACATAAATCCTTCTCAAACTCTTCCAAAAGAGTGAAGAGAAGGGAACACTCCCAAAGACATTTTGTGAAGCTGCCATCACCCAGATACCAAAAGCAGACAAAGATACCACAAAAAAAGAAAACTATAGGCCATTGTTTTTGACAAATTAGATGCAAATATTCTCAACAGAATACTAGCAAACTGAATCCAGCAACACATAAAAAAGATCATACGCCAAAAGAAACAACCCAATCAAAATATAGGCAGAAGACCTAAATAAACATTTCTCCAATGAAGACATATGGATGGCTAATAGATACATGAAAAGATGTATATCATCACTAATTATTAGAGAAATACAAATCAAAACTATGAGGTACTGCCTCACACTGGTCAGAGTGGCCTTCATAAAAGGTCTACAAGAAAGAAATGCCAGAGAGGAAGCAGAGAAAAGGAAGTCCTCCTATATTGTTGTAGGAATGTAAATTGGTGCAGCCACTATGGAAAACAGCATGTAGGTTCCTCAGAAAACTAAAATTAGAGTTGCCATATGATCAAGCAATTTCACTTCTGGGCATACATCCAGAAAAATTACAATTCAAAAGATACCTGCACCCCTATGTTCATAGCAGTGTATTTACAATAGCAAAGATATGAAAACAATCTAAATGTTTATTGACAGATGAATGGATAAAGAAGATGTATACACACACAAACACACACACACACACACACACACACACACACACACACAATGGAATGCTACTCAGTCATGAGAAGGAATGCAGTAATGCCATTTACAGCAGCATGGATGGACCTAGAGATTATCATACTAAGTGAAGTAGGAAAGAGAAAGGTAAATACCATGATGTTACCACTTATATGTGGAATCTAAAATATGACACAAATGCACTTATCTACAGAACAAAAACAGACTCACAGACATAGAGAACAGACTTGTGTTTGTCAAGGTAGGGGAGGGGGCTTGGGAAGGGATGAATTGGGAGTTTGGAATTAGCAGATGCAAACTATTATACATAGTATGGATAAACAACCAAGGTCCTGTTGTATAGCAGGGGGTACTATAGTCTGTAAGAAACCATAATGGGAAAGAATATGAAAAAGTTGTTTATACACACACACACACACACACACACACACACTCTGAATCACTTTGCTGTATGGCAGAAATTAACACAACATTGTAAGTATACTATATTTGAATTTTAAATATTGCCTCTTTACCCAGGTCCTCTGTATCCCCTCCAAGCACCTCAGTATCTTACACCTTCATATTAGATCTTGATGGAACCTGTGAAATGACCCCTTTGTTTTACTGAAGAAAGTGCAGACATGTGAGGTTAAGCAGTTTACTCAGATGGCTCAATTAAGAACAGTAGTGTGACCTCACAGCTTTAAATATTGGGGGAAAAGAAAAAGGTTGGGGGAGAATTGACCTACCAACCTCAGGGTTTCATTAATGACTGCTTCAGGCTTGGATATACAGATTTATTTCATGCCCAATATTTTAAAAACTGGCTTCATTTTTGTTTTCTGTAGCATGCTAATTAAATGTAATTTAAAAATCTTCTTCCTTTCAGGTCAAGTGAAAAGTGCCAAATCTGTACAGTAAGCCATGGTCAGAAAAGAGGTCAAGATCATACCTTCTATTGAGTATGTGTTTTAATAACAGGCCACATCGTCTTCTATATCTATGAAGGCAAACCTATCTCTGCTCACTGAAGTTAACAAAATAGATGTGGGGTTTTATAAAAATGTTTAAATATGAAATTAAATCATGCTTGTTTTGTTTTATCCCATTCAGTGTGCTTATGTCCAGACTTTCTGGCCTTGCCTCTGCCGTTGCAAGTCAGTCTAATGTGAGTTCCACATGTTCCTTCCAGAGAACACTTGAGTATGAGTCACTCACAAAGACCAGATGGGAGTTATAAAAGCTGCTTAGAGAATCTGACAGTTTTCTGTGTGATTGAGGCAGGGAATTTCTCTTCAATTGAGGGATTTTTTTTTTTAAGACACATTGACCATTTCCAGAGGAAAAAATTGTTCTCCCTTCCTCAAAAGGAAAGCTATGGGATGACATTCTGGAGCAAGGAAATATTAAGGATGGTTCAGATGAGAGTCCTCTGCTCACCCGCCTAGGTTGGATGCATGAGACAAGTGCTCGGGGCTGGTGCACTGGGAAGACCCAGAGGAATCGGGTGGAGAGGGAGGTGGGAGGGGGGATCGGGATGGGGAATACATGTAAATCCATGGCTGATTCATGTCAATGTATGGCAAAAACCACTACAATATTGTAAAGTAATTAGCCTCCAACTAATAAAAATAAATGGAAAAAATAATAATAATAAAAAATAAAAATAAAAAATATTACTTTCTTACCTCCAAAATAAAATTCACCTTTAAGATGGGATGTGGTCTCCTAGTGGACTTCCCAGGTGGTGCTAGGGGTAAAGAACCCACCTGCCAATGCAGGAGATGGTAAGAGGTGTGGGTTCCACCCCTGGGTCAGGAAGATCTCCTGGAGGAGGACATGGCTACCCACTCCAGTATTCTTGCCTAGGGAATCTCATGCACAGGCAACTGTCCACCGGGTCACGTAGAGTCAGACACGACTGAAGTGACTAAGCATGCATGCATACACGTGGTCTCTTAGTAAATCTTCTTGTTTCTTTAACCTCCTTCCGTCTTTCCCTAATCTGTAGTTTGGCAATCAGTTCAGTTCAGTTGCTCAGTCGTGTCTGACTCTTTGTGACCCCATGGACTGCAGCATGCCAGGCTTCCCTTGCATCACCAACTCCCAGAGCTTGCTCAGACTCATGTCCATTGAGTCAGTGATGCCATCCAACCATATCATCCTCTGTTGTCCCCTAATTGTATTACATGTAATTTTCCTTCTGTTTTATATCACTTAGATTTTAAATATAATTGTTGGTTTCATATTAGTGATCTGAAATGTCCTTTTTTCTAGTTTGTCTAAGAACCCCTGAACCTTCTGCTACTCTGTGACTTTCTGGAAAAGTTATTTTTTGTTGTTGTTTTCATTTATTTTTATTAGTTGGAGGCTAATTACTTTACAATATTGTAGTGGTTTTACAGAATAAGAGACACGGAAGTGGAAAAGTTCTATAGGAAGAAAATTATTCTCTTCTTTGTCCCACCCTAAAAGCTAGTTTTTCATTGTTGAAGGGAAGAAAAAGAAATGAGCAATTCAGTAATTCCTTGTCACTTGACATTTTCTCAGGCACAGTTTTGAGATAACACTGTATCACAAATGTAGAAGTTTTGAGATTTTTTTTTTTTTTAATGTATGAGCTATTCAGGTTTAGTTGCCTTGAGCAAAAGAGGAGAGCAGTGCCTCTCAGCCCCCTCATTGATAGATCTAGTGGGTGTTCATGGAGTAGTGCAAAAAAGACCAGTGTTTGTGCCATTATCTCAATATTGTAAATTGTGAGAAGTCTACTCCCTTTAAGCACAGCAATAATTTGGGCAAAGGCCAGATGCCATTTTTGTCCTTTCTGGTCCGATTCTACATTTTCTGAGCCTTGATAGTGAATATGACCTGTTTTCCAGGCATGTAGTTCTAGTGACGAAGAAAGGATTTCTGAATCTCACTTCAAAGATTCCTAGATAAGACCAAGTAGAAAATAAACTCTCTTCTTTATCTTGTTCTGGAAATTCACATTGGCATTTTTATGTCATTATGGTTCCTTTACTTTCTTACAGACTACTTTTCTCTTTTCAGCAACTGATATAATATGTTTGTGTCCCTCCTCCAGATTACTATTTTGAAACTTGATGCCCTCTGTGAGAGTATTAGGAGGCAAAGCCTTAGCAGGTGATAAGGTCAGTGAGGCTGCTGATCAGGCCCTTTATATAAGAGGCCCTAGATGGCTCCCTTGCTCCTTGCACCATGTGAGGTTACAGCAAAAAGATATCCATCTAGAAGGCAGACTCAAGAGAGTCTTTTGGCGTCATGAACTTGGCCTTCCCAGCGTCCAGAAGTATGAGATGTAAGGTAAGATGTTTATAAGGTACAACAAACCTTATGATGGGTTTGTTACAGCGGCCTGAATGGGCTGAGACATCAGCTCCTCTTCATCCTGCATCAAGATAGGGGAACTTTTCAAAAGTCAATGCTATCTTTCAATTTTCCTTGTCAGTTGTACCTCAATAAAGCTGAAAAAAGTCAATCTCAACCCTTGGCAAAGCAATCTGCAGTTCTCTATTCTGAGAGCCTTATCCCCAATGTTAGTAAGAGCTAATCCTTTGGGGGCACCCATAGCATTAATAGCTCTGTACTATATTCTATGTAATTGTTCACATATGAACTATAAGATTTTTTTAAAGCATATTTAATTGTTTATTTGGCTGTATCAGGTTTTAGTTGCAGCATGCGGAATCTTTTATTGTGGTACATGGACTCTCTAGTTGTGCATGGACTCAATAGTTATGGCACTCAAGTTTAGTTGCTCTGAGGCATGTGGGAACTTAGTTTCCTGACCAGGGATCGAACCAGTGTTTTCTGCATCACAAGGAGGATTCTTAACTACTGGACCACCAGGGAAGTCCCAACTATGAGCTTTTTCAGGGTAGGAACTTTGTCTTGTTTTTCTTCATTCCCAAAGAGCCTGTAACATAGTAAGTTAGTGAATAATAGTTTTGGCACCACCTTATTCATACAATTCACCAGTCTTCATTCATTTATAGAGCTTGTTCACCTTTATAGAAATGACTCCTGAATCCTGCCTCCATATTTTGCTGTGCCAATGCCCCATGTCAACTTCTGCTCCTCCAGAAGACAAGCCACACATACATCCAGAATTACAATTGTGTATTTAGTTTGTTCTCCATTTCTAAGCTTTCTTCTTGAGTCCCCTATTACTTTTTAGTCATGTGATCCTGGTGATTATCAAGGAATTCCTGAATCTCATTTTAAGCATTTCACTAATGTGAGGGTCTGAATATATGTTTATATCTATAGACCTGTAATTTTAGTAAGTTTTGAGAGACATAGTGTATCTTGTGACCTAATGTTACATTGAATTATAGGTATATTTACAGGAGTGTCAAAGGTCCTGATACTTTTTGAATCCTGTCTGAATCTTGTTTGAGCTGTTATTCAGGTAGCTGCATGACTTTGAGCTGTTACTCAGGTAGCTGCATGACTTTGAAAACCCACAGAGTAATTACTGTTTCAAGGTACATACTAGTAAATTAAATCACATTATTTAAGAGGTAGTAAAACAAAAGGTACATAAGAGTGTTCTGATTACTTTTAGATGGTGGTTCCTTAGGCTTTTGTGTTTTTTCATTGATTGGAAAACTAAAAAAAAAAGAGGAGGGGGAGGAGATTGGTATGACATCATTAAGAAAACAGCTAATGTCTGCTATGACTATCATTTAATAAAAGAAAAGAAATATTAATGCCAGAAAAAATGGGAAGATATGACCTTAGTATAAGGCTCAGTCTTTAAAATTGAATAAATTAACTTTTAGTATAGACTTCTATGTTTTTCATTTTGCCATGTATGAGGGAACTCATCGTGAATTACAACTGGCATATGGTCTAGTCTTTGAGATATATTGCTCTAGGCTAAGCTAAAGCAGTCAGGCTGCTACTTAGGTTACCATAATTGTGAAAGGCTGACAGTCCATCCCAATGTTTCATCTAATTTGTGATAGATTGCATTTTCTAAGATGGCCACATCTCTCATCCCACCTGCTCTTCTACAATGTGATCATGACATTCCTCACATAGAGAGGTGGGTCTCTGTTCTCTCATCATGAACCTGGGCAGGCCTGTGACTACAGTAGACATAAAGCTATGTGACTTTCATAGATCATAAAAGATAAAGATGATACAGTTTCTACCTAGTTTTCTTGAGACGCTGGCTCTTGGAAACCAACCTGTGGAGAGACCTATATGGACAGGCACTGAGGCCCAGCTCATAGCCCTGGCTGAGCTCCAGCCAGCAGTCATCAGTGATGTGCGTGAGTCATCTTGGAAGCAGATCCTCCAGTTGAACCACCACAGCTGGTGCTGTGTGGAGCAGAGACAAGCCTCTGTTGAGCCATGCCAAAATTGTACATTTCAGCCAAATAAATAATTGTTGTTTTAAACTACTAAGGTTTGTGTCTGTTTGTTATGCGGCAGTTTATAACACATAAATTCTAGAACTTGGAAGTGAGAGATCCACATAACAAACCCTAAAACATATGGCTTTGCCTTTTGGGACTGGGTAGTAGACAGAAGCCGGAATGGGCTAGAGGAGAGTGTTAGTGAAAGCCTGCAGAGCCTTAGATTATTAGCAGAATCTTTGAGGCTGTCTGGGAGGCTCCTGAGGCTTCCCTGGCGGCTCAGAATTCTCGGTAAAGAATCTGCCTGCAATGTGGGAGACCCAGGTTTAGTCCCTGGGTCAGGAAGATCCCATGGAGAAGGGAATGGCAACCTGCTCCAGTATTTTTGCCTGGAGGATTCCATGGACAGAGGATCCTGGAGGGCTACAGTCCATGGGGTCGCAGAGAGTCGGACATGACTGAGCACAAACTCATGCACTGGAGGCTTGTAGTGGGAATTTTTAGGAAAGAGAGGAAAATGTTATTAGAAGCTAGAGAAAAGGTACCTTTCTTACATGATGGTGGTAAGTTTGGTCACACTTTCATCCAAGTAATGAACTCAGTGATCTTGCTCAGAACTTTTCCAAATAGTGTTCAAGTGCCACCTGTATTCTCCTACTAAAATTGGAGAGAAATGAGCCTAAAAGGAACAGTTCAGTTTTCAAATAAAATTTAAAAGAAATATAAAGGATTCAGTATTTGCTAGGTTTGAAAATAAAATTAGTTCTCATTTCTAACCTTTGTAGATGGCAAAAAGTTATCAAACTAAGAGATGGCTGCTGGGAAAAGATAAAATCTCAGGCAGGATTGTGAGGTCATTGGATAAGACCTCAGTGATATTTAGGTGGTATGTCATGGAAGTGTTCAGACTCAAAAAGGCTTTGCTCAGCTTCAGACTTGAGGTGGGCTTTCTCAGTGCAGCTGTAAAGATGGCCTGTAGCTGCCCTAGGGGTTATCACCACAGCTAAGGTCAAATGGAAAGAGACCAGCTGTCTCTAGATAATAGTACACACACACACACACACACACACACACACACACATCAAGGCATCATCTGATTGGTCTTGAGTCTCATGCTCTGAACCAACCGTAGTGTTGGGACAGAGAGCTATGACTAACAAACGTTTTGTGCCTGTCTCTGTCAGACAGTGTAGTCTCTCATTAGAAGATGGAGTTTGGGTGAGACTGACTGGGAAGCCTCTCAGTTCTCAACTCTCAAAATCATCAAAGTATTCAACTGGCTCTACCACAAATCAGAAGTGTAGAAGTTTTAGTCACTCAGTTCTGTCTGACTCTTTGTGACCCCATGGACTGTAGCCTGCCAGGCTCCTCTGTTCATAGAATTCTCCAGGCAAGAATACTGAAGTGGGTTGTATTTCCTTCTCCAGGAGATCTTCCCAACCCAGGGATCAAACCCGGGGTCTCCTGCATTGCAAGCAGATTCTTTACCATCTGAGTCACCAAGGAAAGTACTGTACCAAAAAAGGTGAAATATAAATTTATTATTGCCTTTTTTTTTAGCTTTATGGGAAATATTGTTGTGAGAGAAATTTGATCACCTCTGTGTATTCTAGTTATGTGCTATCTCTAGCTCTCAGAATCATATGTAATCTAGAGCTGAGTCTATGAATTTTGTTTGGGGTTTCTTGAGGTATGGGTATTTTTTCCAAAAGCCATGGAGAATCTGACTTTTAAAATGTAAAACTGCATGACTCTTACCTGGAGGGTCTAGGTGAACCCAGTGAGCCTGAGGGGATAGCAGTTGGATAAGAACTAGACAGAACTGGAGGGACATTACTCAGAGTGATCTGAGTCATGACAGTTTAGGAGAGAAATCAAGGTGACAAGCAATAGAGATGAGGTTAAGATGAATATGGGAAAAAGAGCAGTGAACTTGGTAACCAGAAAGGCTCAATAAGGGCAGGTTGGGAATGAGTAAGGAATGGGTCTCTCAGGAGACAGCCTGTGTACAAGACAGCTTTTAGAAAAGCATAGTCCTCAGGATTTATGGTAGGAATGGGTCCAGTGACATAAAAGAACTACACCAGACAACAGCAACAAAACGTTGTAAAGGAAATATTTTGGGAGAATGGTGTGTGAGTGCTAGTGATGGTTGTTGCAGTCAGTGCAGACATAGAGCTGTTGACTGAAACCACTTAGTCTCAAGAAGGAATTGGGGCTTCTATGTGTCAGAATTTCCTTGATACAGTGATGGAGAAGATCAATGATAGATGAAGTCATCTCATTGTGGTAGTGTTATCCTCGGTGCCCTGATTAGTGTGGCACAGGAATGAGAGAGTAGAATTTCATTGTCACAGAATAACTCTCTTCAAAGTAAACTACAAGTTGATTAATAACTGGTTCATTTGTTTAAATTTATACTGTATTTGGTTTTAATGATCAGATTTGGCGTAAAAATAAATCACATTGGGCATCACAGAATTTGGGATGCATTTGTCCTATGAAGAATGTCCTATGTAGCCTATTTGTCATTGGCTTTTGGTTTCTTCAAATCAAGGACCAAAAGCCAATGACAGAGGAGTTAAGGAGAAAAGGGGGAGTGAGAAACTCCATGGAAAAGAAAGGAGAGGCAGAAAAAGAGAAAATAGAAAAGGATGAATGAAAAAATCAGAAGGGAGACAAGGCAGTTGAAAAGGATTAAGGTTGAAGAAAGAAAACCAGAGTATATATTAAACCATATAGGAGGAAGTTCTGTCTACACGGTCAATGACCATTTCAGCCATTAAACCAGGCAAAGAAAATCAGTTAAAACAGTTATGTGTATAGACATAGCTTGAGCATTAAGAAATGCAAGTTTCCCTAGGGACACTTAAGCTTCTTCTGGATTGGGGGTGGGCATGATGTTTGTAGCCAATCAGAATGAAAGTAAGTTGGGAAGCAACCAATAGGAATTAGGCATGGAAATAGCTTTCAGTGTGATATCAGTTGGCAGTACTGTCCCTGGCAAACAGATGCAGAGCTGAGCATTTTATGTGATTTTCAGTGCCTTCACCTTGGTTTCAACTCTGAAACTGCTTAGCCTTGGCTGAAGGTATTGTTGGTTTTGAAAGTTTGGAGAACTTGATTTGGGAGCAAGGCTGTCCTGACAAGTTGGGTAGTAGGCTGTGAAGGTGCCGAGGATGTGGGGTGCTGCTGGAGGGACAGGTTTCAAGATAAGTGTTTTGAATCCCATTTCTGGGCCATCTTCCACTTCACGTCAGAATCACTGTGACTTTCAGACCCAACAGATGCAAAGCAAAGATCCAGAAATTACCGGGGATACTTCAGGAACCTCTAGGAATTTTAGGTTAAGGGTAGCTGCAAGGGAGAGAAAAAGAGAATGAGTCCTCAGGACCTTCACATCTATTTATGCAGATTAGGTCCCACCCAAGGGCAGCAGCTTGAGGGGGGTGGGTTGGGTCCTGGGGTTGAAATCAGCCTGTTATTCACATGCTAAGCTGTGTGCCCTATTGTTAGCAAGGGGAACTTTTTCTAATTCACTCAAAGCTACCATATGATCAGACCTCAACTTTTGTCTTTTTCCTTTGTTTTTAGGTTATTCACATCCTTCTGCACCCCCATCCTTAACCAATAGGACTCAATTTTGACCTGTTTCCCATTTGCCATTTTGGAGTTGGAGGGGCCTGAGAGTTGAAAAAGGGGCAAGAAATTGCAATAGTAGAAGAAAATTCTAGAATGATTTGTACTCCCAGAGAAAGAGTTCTTCCTCAAAGAGTTATGGAGAGCCTGTTATGTGCCACATGCTGTGTGCACAGCCTTAAGGAAAATTAATAGTTTGCCCTGACCCTCAAGAAACTTCCTGTTCCATGGGGAAGACAAACATTACCATATTGTACAATAAATGGTACATGCAAAAATCAATACCATCTCTCCCCGATACATGTGTAGCAGTATCAGGAAGAAGCACAAACACTGCTCTTAGTGTTCCCATAGAATGTTCTTGGAGCAGAGGTGGAACAGGAGGTATTAATTTGTACCTTATGGGCTCAGATATGAGTGTAGCATGATCTTAGGTAGAAAGAATGTGGATGGATTGGATCCTGGCCAGTCACATGGTCTTCTTTTTTGTGTATCATACAGGTTAGTTTGTACTAGTGAAAGTGTCAACAGTAAATCTCATCCAGGTTCATCAACTGGGACTGATAAAACAATGTCAAAAGCTAATGTGTCCTTCTGGGTACAAAAAGAAGGTAACAGACCTGATTTACTCTGTGGAAGGGCCGCTGACTACCCTGTTGTAAAGGGACATTTCCTGATTCTTGTATGGTCCACGCTTGTTTTGGGAGGTAGGTGATTGTTTTTTACATCTCATCTTTCCTCTGACCTCTGAACCTTTGCAGAAAGTGATCACAATTACAACAAAAGAAGAAAACCAATGAGATTATATAAAAAGTCTGATCTCTACTATGCTCCTTCATTCATTCAGTGACATTTGCTGAGCATAGCAGTGTGGAGGATATGAAAGTTCTTAGCCTCAAGGAGAGTTTTCATGGGGGAAACAGGCAGACACATAATTGCAATGCAGTGTCATTATTATAACTGTAAAGGTATAGTCCAGAATCTCTGGTAACAAAGGAGAGGGAGAGCTTTACACTGCCTGGCTTCATTCTTGCCTGCCAGGCCTAACTTGACCTAAATATCTGGGATGAGGGGAGGGCAAATAGAACCCAGATACGTGGTTCACAATTTGCTTAGTTAACATCTTCACTTTTGTCCATTTTACTATGACTTTTGATGTGATTTTTCTTTAGGGAAGATGTACCATTCCACCCCCTTGGGAGAATTAGGAAAAGTTTCACCTCTAAGGTCTCTTACACAATGATAAAGTATTCAATAGGCATGAAGAGTGATATTCATGCAGATAAAATAACATATTAAAAAACAGATGCTTTATTCCATAATTCAACACTAGTGATTAGAGAACATTTTCTAGTTCCCTCAAAAATTTTTTCATTTGGGCAAAATGAAATGTCAGTTGGTTTAAAATGCTTTCTGGAACAAAAGTGAAAGTTTTAGTTGCTCAGTCGTGTCCAACTCTTTGCCACCCCATGGTCTGTCTGTCTCCATGGAATTCTTCAGGCAAGAATACTAGAGTGGGTTGCCATTCCCTTCTCTAGGGGATCTTCCCATCTCAGGGGTTGAACCCAGGTCTCCTGTATTGCAGGTACATTCTTTACCAGGGAAAGCTGGTACAAAGACTACAAAGAAGCAACAAAGCAAACACCCATGAAGAACTTCAACTTTACTCCCATTAGGGAGTGAAATTGCTTTCTCTGGGGTTTTTAAAATGCTCATCATCAACCTTGGTCCCTTTTGGTACAATGAATTGCTGCTGACTATGAATCTCACTAGCTTTAGATCTTTTATGATTACATAGAGACAGGTGCTCCAGGCAGTAAAGGGCATTGCAGAAATTGCTTGAGAAACATTTCTTTGGCTAACCTTATGCATATGTATTCAAAAAATATTTACTGATGTGTCATGACCTGTAGGTGAAAGGCAAGAAATACAGACTCTGAGATGCCAATGAGTCTCACCTTAGGCATAAGTTAACTGGATTGTAGTCTATGTATTGCCTCTGGAAGTGATGAGCTGAATAATCTTAGAGTAGGAAGTTTTAGGGGCTTCCTGGGTAGTGCTGGAGACATGGGTTTGATCCCTGGGTTGGGAAGATCCACTGGAGGGAAGCATGGCAGCCTACTCCAGTATTCTTGCCTGGAGAATCCCATGAACGGAAGAGCCTGGTGGGATACAGCCCATGGGGTTGCACAGAGTTGGACACAACGGAAATGACTTAGCACGCATGCACGGAGGGAGTTTTAAGGCAAGAAGCTTCATATAAACAGAATAGCTAGTGTCTTTTGACACTTAATTGGTAAAGGAAGCTTTCCCTATGATTAGATTCATTTAAAAGTATTTCTGGTGTTTAAGAAAACTATAGAATATATGTTACTATAGCTTAGGATGAGTAGTGATTAACAGGTAGTAAGACATTGCAAGGTGGTGGAGTAGGAGAACGTGTGTTCATCTTCTCCTGTGATAACTCCAAAATTACAACTCACTGCTGAACAACCATTGGCAGGAGAATGTTGGATCCCACCGAAAAAAGATACCCCATGTCCAAGGGCAAAGGAGAAGCCCCAGCAAAATGGTAGGAGGGGTGAAATCACACTTAGAATCAAACCCCATACCTGCCAGAGATGCTTGGAGGGCTCAAATAAAATGTTCTGCGTACCAAGAGATGCCACAGAGACTGAGCCAGACCTGCCTTTGAGTGTCTCATGTGGAGGTACGGGTCAGCAGCAGTGGCCTGCCACAGGGGCAGGGGCTCTGGGTGCAGCAGACCTGGGTATAGCATAAGCCCTCTTGGAGGAGGTCGCCATTAACCCCACTATAGAGCTGCCAGAACTTACAAAGGACTGGGGAAACAGACTCTTGGAGGGCACAAACAAAACCTTGTATGCACCAGAACCCAGGAGAAAGGAACAGTGACCCCACAAGACACCCAGACTTGCCCGTGAGTGTTCAGGAGTCTCTGGCAGAGGCTTGGGTCAGTGGTGGCCTGCTGCAGGGTCAGGGGCACTGAGTGCGGCATTGTGTGCATGGGATCTTTGGAAGGAGGTCCCCATTATCTTCATTACCTCCACCATAGTTTGGCCTCAGGTCAAACAACAGGGAGGGAACACAGCCCTGCCCATCAATAGAAAATTGGATTAAAGATTTATGGAGCATGGCCCCACCCATCAGAACAGACCCAGTTTCTCCCTCAGTCAGTCTCTGCCATCAGGAAGCTTCCATAAGTCTCTTATCCTTATCCAAGAGGGCAGAGAGAATGAAAACCATAATCACAGAAAACTAATCAAACTGATCACATGGACCACAGCCTTGTCTAACTCAGTGAAACTATGAGCCATGCCGTGTAGGGCCACCCAAGACAGACAGGTCATGGTGGGGAGTTCTGACAAAATGTGGTCCACTGGAGAAGGGAAGGGCAAACCACTTCAATATTCTTGCCTTGAGAACCCCATGAACAGTATCAAAAGGCAAAAAGATAGGACACTGAAAGATGAACTCCCCAGGTCAGTAGGTGCCCAATATGCTACTGGAAAACAGTGCAGAAATAACTCCAGAAAGAATGAAGAGATGGAGCCAAAGCAAAAACAACACCCAGTTGTGGATGTGACTGGTGATGGAAGTAAAGTCCAATGCTATAAAGAGCAATATTGCATTGGAACCTGGAATGTTAGGTCCATGAACCAAGGCAAGTTGGAAGTGGTCAAATAGGAGATGGCAAGCGTGAACGTTGACATTTTAGGAGTCAGCGAACTAAAATGGACTGGAATTGGTGAATTTAACTCAGATGAATATTCTACCTACTACTGTGTGCAAGAATCCCTTAGAAGAAATGGAGTAGCCATCATAGTCAACCAGAGTCTGAAATGCAGTACTTGGATGCAGTCTCAAAAACGACAGCATGATCTCTGTTTGTTTCCAAGGCAAACCATTCAGTATCACAGTAATCCAAGTCTATGCCCCAACCAGTAATGTTGAAGAAGCTGAAGTTGAATGGTTCTATGAAGACCTACAAGACCTTCTAGAACTAACACCCCAAAAAGATGTCCTTTTCATTATAGGGGACTGGAATGCAAAAGTAGAAAGTCAGGAGATGCCTGGAGTAACAGGCAAATTTGGCCTTGAAGTACGAAATGAAGTAGGTCAAAGGCTAATAGAGTTTTGCCAAGAGAACGCAATGGTCATAGCAAACACCCTCTTCCTACAACACAGAGAAGACTTATACATGGACGTCACCAGATGGGCAATACTGAAATCAGATTAATTATATTCTTTGCAGCCAAAGATGGGGAAGCTCTGTACATTCAGCAAAAACAAGACCAGGAGCTGACTGTGGCTCAGATTGTGAACTCCTTATTGCCAAATTCAGACTTAAATGGAAGAAAGTAGGGAAAACCACTAGACCTTTCAGGTATGACTTCGGTTAGTTCCCTTACAATTATACAGTGGAAGTGAGAAATAGATGTAAGGGATTAGATCTGATAGAGTGCCTGAAGAACTATGGATGGGGGTTCATGACATTGTACAGGAGGTAGTGATTAAGACCATCCCCAAGAAAAACAGAAATGCAAAAAGGCAAAATGGTTTTCTGAGGAGGACTTACAAATAGCTGAGAAAAGAAGAGAAGTGGGGGAAAAAAAAAGAGAAGAGAAGCGAAAGGTAAAGGAGAAAAGAAGAGATATACCCATTTGAATGCAGAGTTCAAAGAATAACAAGGAGAGATAAGAAAGCCTTCATTAGTGATCAATGCAAAGAAATAGAGGAAAACAATAGAATGGGAAAGACTAAGGATCTCTTCAAGAAAATTAGAGATGCCAGGGGAACATTTCATGCACAGATGGGTACAATAAAGGACAGAAATGGCATGGACCTAACAGAAGCAGAAGATATTAAGAAGAGGTGACAAGAATACAAAAAATCAAATCAGTTCAGTTCAGTCACTCAGTTGTGTCTGACTCTGCGACCCCATGAACTGCAGCACGCCAAGCCTCCCTGTCCATTACAGACTCCCAGAGTCCACCCAAACCCATGTCCACTGAGTTGGTGATGCCATCCAACAATCTCATCCTCTGTCGTCCCCTTCTCCTCCTGCCCTCAATCTTTCCCAGCATCAGGGTCTTTTCAAATGAGTCAGCTCTTTGCATCAGGTGGCCAAAGTATTGGAGTTTCAGCTTCAACATCAGTCCTTCCAATGAACACCCAGGACTGATCTCGTTTAGCATGGACTGGTTGGATCTCCTTGCAGTCCAAGGGACTCTCAAGAGTCTTTTCCAATACCACAGTTCAAAAGCATCAATTCTTCGGTGCTCAGCTTTCTTTATAGTCCAATTCTAACATGCATACACGACCATGGGAAAAACCATAACCTTGACTAGATGGACCTTTGTTGACAAAGTAACGTCTCTGCTTTTTACTATGCTGTCTAGGTTGGTCATAACTTTCCTCCCAAGAAGTAAGTGTCTTTTTATTTCATGGCTGCCATCACCATCTGCACTGATTTTGGAGGCCCCCAAAATAAAGTCAGCCACTGTTTCCCCATCTATTTGCCATGAAGTGATGCCATGATCTTAGTTTTCTGAATGTTGAGCTTGAAACCAACTTTTTCACTCTCCTCTTTCACTTTCATCAAGAG